AAAAAAAAAAAAAAAAGCAAAATTTGTAACTATAGAGCCTGAGTTTCTCCAGTGGATTTTTTTTAAAAGTCACAATCTTTATTCCTTTTCTGAAAACAAGTCTGCTATCTCACTTTAGAGATCTAAACATTTAGGCACTGTGGCTGAATTCTGATAGAGAAATGAAGTTGCAAAGTCCACTGACCTCCTAACACCAGGTATCAGTCACACTGCTGGCGAATTTGCATCCACCTCTTGATTGTCAGCAGTGCTAACACTAGGCTCTGAAAATGGCAATGAATTAGCATCCAAAGAAAAGAGAAACATTTACCAAGCCCAAGACTGACTGCATTTACATCAGATGTGGACAGTATCTGATTGTACTGGTGGCCCAAAAAACATAAAAGCATATCTACACATTAGGTATATAACAGATGCATGAGCAACAGAAACTTGAGACAAAATTCTAAATATATGGGGTGGGCAAATTTATCAAACTCCACTTGTATGAAATTTACATATGAACAGTCTTGAATTTGCAACAACTGTTTAAGGATTCCACAAACTAAAGTTAACTTCAGTAAACTAAAGATTTAAAACACTATGCCAGTCATGACAAAATTCAAGATCCTCTAAACTTGTTTGAATTTTTCAAAAGTTTTAAAGTCAAAAAATTTAAAAATAACATCCAACTGTCTCAAGGGGCACCATAAATTCCCAGAGTTAATTTTAGATAATGTCCCCAAATTCCTAGCTCTACATGTGAGCTGGAGACGTGGGCAGTATATGCATGGTAATCCTGATGGGGCAGGTGAGACTTTCGTATTCCTAAGGCTTGACTACAAGGATGACCGCAAAGACAAAAGTTGAGTCAAGACTGAAAACGAAAAACTGCGAATACTATTTTTTTCGATTCCCCACAAGGCAACAGATAACAGCTAAGCTGCCCTAAGGGGAGCCCGTCCAGGATCTGAGAAGGGTCAATTCAGGAGGTTAACTGGGTGACCGTACGGACAAATGTCCTGCGCATGACCTTTAGCCCAGATGCTAACTGCCAGCTGGAGCAACCTCCAGGGGAGGCAGCCAGGTCCAACAGTGGGCGGACAGCACTGACCTTGCTCCAGTCAAGCCTGAGACGCGGAGCAGAGGAGGGGCGGCGGGAGGGGAGAGGAACCCGCAGGCCCCGGGTGGCCCAGCCTGTCTCGCCCCCACCTCTGCACCTGGCCCCGTCCGGCGTTCCCCCTCACCCGGGCAGGGCAGCTTGGCTAGTGGCACCGACATGGTCACAGCGTCCAGAACTCTCTCGGTCGGACACCGCGGAAGGACGACAGCCTGCGGCTCCCCGCGGTCTCTGGGCCTCTACGCTGCCGGGGGCGCCATTGCGCGGCAGGAAAGCTCTGGCGGCCCCGCCGAAGTTTGCCTCAGCTCAGCCGGCCACACTCACCTCACGGCGTTCCCGCCTCCCTCCAGCTCTGCGCCGGCGCCACTCATGACGCGAGAGCCAGGGGAGGTTTCTGGGTCACTAGCCGGCAAAGAAAAGAAAGGGACTCCAAGTACCAGGGCGCCCCGCGGCTTCGGGTTGCGGGTTGGGCCTGTACTTCCGCCTCTTCAGGCCAACAGAGGGACCCATAAGTTTAGGTACGCAGGCGCACGCATGTGTATTGACAGCATAGGAGACGGGGGGGGGGGGGCACGCACAGCATCCTGGGAGGTGTAGTCTTCTGCACCCGCGCCCTCCGGTGCTACGGGGAGTTTACGCAGGTGCGGTGAGCCTCCCAAGGTGACTTGACTGATGTCTGATTGGCTGTCGGGAAGTTGAAGTCTTCGGGTCCCGGGTCGGAGACCGACCAGGCGGCGGGGCGGGGCCTGGGCGGCGGGGCGGGGCCTTCGGAGCCGGTCGAGCGGCTGAGGGCGGTCGGTGTGGGCCCATCCTCCCCGCTCGGCCCGCGGTCCCGAGTCCCTGCGGCGGGCCTGCGTGCTTCCCCGCCGCCCCGGCCCGGATCCCTCCTCAGTGCCTTCCCGGGCTGCCCAGCGGGTTCGGGCTGGCTGCGGCTGAGCTGCGGTCGGAGCCGTGAGTGTCTGCGGCAGGGCGGGACTGGGCCCGCACCGCGTCCTCCGGTTCGTCTCCCGGCTGCAGCCTCTGTTCCGGTACCCGGGGTCCTCGCGCGCTGTCCGCGTGGGCGCCTGCAGAGCCGCCCGGTCCTGCTCCGTCGGCCCGTGCGGAGGGCGCGGCCCGTGGTCGCCTGCATCCTAACGGGCCTGTGCGCGAGGGCGCGAGTTCCCGGGCGCCCGGCAGCGCCCCCCAGCCCAGCGCTCGGCCCCTGCCTGCCGGGCGCGCGTGTGGCGCCCAGCGTCCTCCCGAAGAGGTGGGAACCGACCTCATGCAGAGTTTAATCCGGGACTGGACGCGCTCCTCTCGTTGCCTTACCCGCGTTTGTATTGCTTAAAAGAGGAGAGACGGGCGGATCCAGGGTTCTTTTTGCGGAATGAGACTGGTTACAAAGAAATATGTAGGATGAAGTACAGTACTGAGTGTAACCTAGGAAGTTCTGTCTTAGGTGAAGAAAATAGTTGATAAAAAAGCTAGTTTGATGCCAAGAAGTGGATATGTTCAGCATTTGTGTGTGATTGTGTTGATGTTATTCATCAGAACTTGAAGTATCTTTTTTTTTAAGGAAAACATTTATTGGTACATTTTAGATATACGACATGATAACATGAGGAATTTGTACCTGTATATGATATATCATGTTTCTTTTTTTCCTGTTCCCACCTCCCTTCCACCCCTCTTCCCCTTTATGTACAAAAGCTTTGTTTCCATTTTTCCTTTTATTTTCTTTTTCCTGTCCTTTCTTTCGTTTCCTCCTCCCTTGTTCCCCTCCTCGTTTGAACATTTTCTTCCCATTTCCCAGGGTCTCTTATATATTTTATTTATTTATTTATTTATGTTTTGTTTTATTGAGACAGGTTCTTGCAGTGTTGTTCAGGCTGGCTTCAAACTCACTATGTAGGGCCGGGGATTTAGCTCAGTGGTTCCGGCGCCTGCCTCGCAAGCACAGGGTCCCGAGTTCGATCCCTGGTACCCAAAAACCCCCTCACTATGTAGCCCAAGCTGGCCTCGAACTCTGATCCTGCTGCCTCAGCCTTCTGAATACTGTGATCAAAGGTGTGTGTCACCATGCTCCGCTATACATTATACATTTTAGTCCTTATTTCCACTTTCGGTTTCTCACACCACAGAAACAGAGCGGTATTAAAATATGTGTGTCAGATTTATTTCACTTAAAAAGTATGGTCCCAAGGTGCATCTATTTAGCTAGAAATGTCTGAAGTTCATCCTTTTTTTACGGCAGAGCAGTACTCCATTGTATAAAAAAAAATCACATCTTTATCCAATCACCGATTGATGGGCATTTGGGCTGTTTCCAAGATTTAGCTGTTACACAATGTGCCACTATAAACATGAGTGTGCATATATTGCTGTAGTATGATGCTTTTAATTCTTTTGGGAAGAGATCAAGAAGGGGAATAGCTGGGTCAAATGGAACCTCTAGTCCTAGTTTTTTGAGGAATCTCCACACTGATTTCCACAGTGGTTGCACCAGTCTACACACCCACCAACAGTGGAGAAGGGTCCCTTTTTCCCCACAACCCTGCATTTGTTATTGGTTGATTTCTTTCTTTCTTTCCTTTTTTTTGGTTGATTTCTTGACAGCAGCCTTTCTTTCTGGAGTGAGGTGGAATCTCAGCATTGTTTTTGTTTTCAACTCTTGGATGACCAGTGATGTTGAACATTTTTTATATTTATTTGCTGCTTCTACTTCTTCACCTGAGAAGCATCTTCATTTCAGATATCCATTTTTGGATTGGGTCTTTAAATTTGGGGGGTCTGATTTTTTTTTTTCAGTTCTTTATATATCTAGATAGTCGTTTGTCTGAGGAACACCTTGTACAGTCACTCAGGCAGAAGGCCTTAGGTCCCTTTGAGGAAGGATGGTAGAAAGATTTGCCATAAAAATTTTTGGTGTACCAGGTTCCTTCCCCAAGGGAACCTGGCTTCCCCTTCATTCAATGGGTTCTGGGTCTTTGTAAACTAGCTCAAATCTTGGAACTGGTTGAGGGGCCATGACTTCCTGTTATTACGATTTGAAATAGGTTACTGTTCATTTGCCCTTAAATGTTTTCAATTATATAAATCCAGTAAAAGTTTTGGGCCAGGTATTTAGCTCAGTGGGTCTGCTGCCTGTCTCACAAGCGAAAGGTCCTGAGTTCAATCCCCGGTACAAAAAAAAAAAAAAAAAAAGACTAAAAGTTAAAGTTTTATAGTTTTCCTGTATTTCAGTTTTGGGAACACCATAGCTAGTCAGCAAATGCCATAGGTCTACACATGTCAGGATATTCTTATCATTGTCCTGCTTTTGCTGTCTGGTATGCTAAGTACATGCACTTTGCTTTTGATGATTAAGTGCTGCCCCTTGACCCTTTCCAACTCATTTCCTTTAAGTTTCCCAATTGAGTAATCATTGCCCCCACTGTATGTCTGGCATACAGAGAAGAGCAGTGGCAGGGCTCTTCAGGGGTGCCAGTGTTACCCCCACAAATCTGTTTCTCAAGGTGTTAGTTTAGGGTGCATTCTCTGGATCATCCCAGTGTGTCAGATTAGGTTTAACATGACAAATCCCCATCAGTATTCTCATTTCCATAAGCTTCTGAATCCCCTCCTCAACAGTATGCTATGGAATATCAGGCATCTCTAACTCATTCACAGTGGGCCATCTTTTGATCCATACTTTTGCCAGCCACCCAAATAAACTATTAACACTTTTTTAAACTCAATGAATTGTAACATTAAATTCAGAATCTGTACTTAACAGGCCCAAATCGACAAACTTAGCTGATCCAGGTGTATATTTTTGCCATCATTATCTCATACCCATTAAATACATTCCCATTTATACTCAACAGACCTCTGTTCATAAGAATTAGAGTACTCTGGGCCTGGGATTTACCTCAGTGGTGCTGCTGCCTGCCTCTTGCAAATGCAAGGTGCTGAGTCTGATCCCAGGTACCAAAAAAAAAGAATTAGAATACTCAAGTTCTTTGGTAGATAGTGGACCTCCTCATGGGTCACACTGTGTACTTCAGCCTTAGGAGCCTCTGATTTGAGCCTGGTTATAGGGCTAGAAGCAAAAGGGGTGGTGAGGGTGAGTCCTGAGGAGTTTCAGCATTATGCTTGGTCAAAGCAGGATCAGTTTCCTCGGGAATACTAGGTGAGGCCAACACCACAGTGGTTGGGGGTCGGAATGCATCAACCCCTGTGGGTGGGGAAATCTCTTCCTCCAGCAAAATAATCTCATTAGAGCTAGAAGCTCAAAATTCTCAGCCTCATCAGGATCCTCCCAAATATCTCCATCCCTGTTTAGGAGATCCCATTCTTTTCTGATCAGTGTCCTTATCTTTACTTCAGATACCTTTCAAGGTTGAACATTGAATTTATGCTGTATTTCAGCCAATTAAATTATGAGCTTGTGTTTGGGTTTCTGCAATCTTGGTCTTGTGGCTAAAAGATAGGAGATTTTCTTTCAGGACACACTTAGACACTTTTAAGTTTTTTATATGTGTCTGGAGCTGGGAATTTGAATACTTGTGCCCTTATTTTCCTTTATTAATCTGTCCTCACAGTTAGAAAACTTTAGATTTCCTATGGATGTTTTGAGCTCATTGTTTTCCTTCACTAGTTTGTCCAGCAATTCTAAGAGCAACCAGCCACTATCATTATATTTCCCTCTCTGTCAAAAATATTCAAAAGTTCCATATATAGAGTTGCTAAATTCCTTATATCTCAGAAGTGATGAATCAGGATAGTCAAATTAATGTACAATGAGTATTACTTTAAATGATTCACACCAAGGACTATCAATATTCCTCACAGTTTTAGGAGAGATTGGGGCATCTTTAGCTCTCATCAAATTAGAGAACCAATTCTAGGAACCCCTAAACTGTTAAAGAATTTTATCTTTATACTTGTGTTTCTCTAGAGCCACTCCCTGTACCAAAATCTGTATCAGTCAATACTTACTAGAGAAACTTTAATGTACGTTATACAAATATATACAAATTTACAAGATTGGCTTACAGTGGCCACCTGAAGAGTCAGGCATGGAAGAGTGCAAAAGGTCTGTCTGTATGCTGGAGATCTGAAGGATCTAGTCGAAAGCCTGGAGCTCAGTGTAGTGTCCCATGTGAGTCCTTATCAGGAGGCTGAAGGGTCTGCAATGGAAGGGGAAGGATCTGTGCTGGAGGCTAAAAAGTGTGTTGGAAGCTAGGAAATGACGTCCAAGGTGAAGCCGAAGACTGGAGCTCCTGTGAAGAAACAGAAGCAAGCCTTCCTTTGTCATTTCCTTTTTATATCATTCTGGTGGTGACAATCCTCCCTAGGGTGGGTCTTCCACACTCAGAATTATGTTGAGCCAATTTACTTAGTCATTTCTTACTAAAGTTGACACAATCAGTTAATTATCACATAGAGATATTTGATCTTTGACAAAGGGACCAAGAACA